TCCTCTGTACCGTGCTAAATAATGGTCTACTGTATACCGTTGATGACCCCACATGCCTTTTACTTATACGATCCAAATACTCTGCATGATATTCACACTACACATTTCTCTTAAACATGATATCTCCACTGCCTCTAATCTCCTTGCTGCTGAATAAAAAAATCCATGCCTTACACCCTTATAAAAGTGTTGATATAACTATGCTCTGGTATATTCCCCCATTTTTTACTTTCATAAACTTCTTTCCATCAAAACTTTCAACGTGCTGCCCACCATTTTCCCCCGTTTATCTATTCCGTGTTTCACCTCATCTTTCATAGACCCATCTGCTGACATGTTTACTCTCACATATCTAAATACATCCGCTTCCTCCATACTCCTTCTCTCTAATCATTCCCTTGATTTTTGTTACCCTCATCACCTTGTTTTTTTGAAGAAGTCACTTTTAATTTCCTTCTTTTATAAAACTTAATAAATTCTTTCACTAACCTTTGTAACTTGATTTCAAAATCCTTTAAATAACTGTGTCATCAGTAAAAAGCAACTGGGATAACTCCCACTTTGTTTCAGATCTAAAAAGTGACAGAGATAACTGCCACTGTGTTAAGTAAAAGAACACAAATGTAATTAATGTGACATTTTATTGTGGCAACGTTTCGCTCTCCAGGAGCTTTGTCAAGTTGTAACAGCTTGACAAAGCTCCTGGAGAGCGAAATGTTGCCACAATAAAATGCCACATTAGTTGCATTTGTGTCCTTTTACTTAACATATTATCGGTAATTCTACCAATATTAATACAACTGCCACTTTGTATTAGATCCAGCATCTATCAGTCCCACATCACTTCCCAACACCCTAACATTACTTCTCTCACAGTTCTATCATAAATATGTTAAACAACTATGGTGACTTCACACATCCTTGTCTAATTCTGTGGGTAGTAGTCCTCTCTCCTGCTTTATCTAACCTGCATCTCACTCTCTGCTTAAAAGCTTAACTGCTTTAGTAACTTACCTCCTGTTCTATTCATTTACAGCATCTGCCACATGGCTTTCCTTATGCAACAAACAACTCTTTACCCTTTAGTACTACTCACTTCATTGTAAACACTTGCTCCTCTACAGTCCTACTTTGTCTTACTCCTAACCCTTTCAGTAATAATTCAGTCATGAACTTCACTTGGTATACTCGGCATACTCTTACATTCTCTCTTGTCCCTTTTTCCTTATTCCAGTTCACTATGTATGCTCTCTGCCACTCAGTGTACTGTTTCAGTTTTAATTAGAATTCACAATTAATTATCATACATAATGGCGAGGGTTATTCAGGCAGATAAGCGAATGAAATACTGGTTTTATATACTACATAGTAAGGGATGGAGGTAAAGGAGGAAAGATAAGGTGATAAGGGAGAGAGGGAGAGGAAGGTAGTGAGGGAGGGAGGGAAAGGTAGTGAGGGAGGGGAGAGGGGCTGAGGAAGGGAGAGGTGGTGAGGGAATGGAGACAGTGTGGAAGGAAGATGTGGCAGTAGCAGTATTTATTAACTTAAATGTCTATGTGGTTCTGGGTGAACAGACAGCATGTGTAGGGAAGGCAGTGCTTTAGTTCTGCAGACATTGCTCTATGTCTGTACCTAGTGAAGTAGAGGATTGTGCTTGAGAAGTATGGCACAATAATATGTGATGAGTCTCAGGGCAGTGTGTGGTGTAGATATTGTGCAGAGAATTTGTAGCTCGGAGATTAGAAGGTGTGGGGTTACTAAAAGTATTATCACAAGGGCTGAGGAGGAATTGTTGAGGTGGTTTAGACATTTAGAGAGGATGGAGCAAAATAGAATGACTTGGAGGGTGTATAAATCTGTAGTGGAGGGAAGGCAGGGTAGGGGTCACTCTTGGAGAAGGTAGAGGAGGTTTTGTATGTGAGGGGCTTGGACATCCAGCAGGCATGTGTGAGCATGTTAAATAGGACTTGATGAGCTGTTGGGGTCACTCTAGGAGAAGGTAGAGGAGGTTTTGTATGTGAGGGGCTTGGACATCCAGCAGGCATGTGTGAGCATGTTTAATAGGACTTGATGAGCTGTTGGAGTGTGAGCAAGGTAACATTTTGTGAAAGGATTCAGGGGAAACCAGTTAGATATACTTAAGTCCTGGAGGTGGGAAGTACAATGCCTGCACTTTGAAGGAAGGGTGGGGATATCTGCAGTCTGGAGGGGCACCTGAACTATAGTATCAGTGTGCCTCTGGCAAGACAGTGATGGAGTAAATGGTGAAACTGCTTCTTTTTTAGGTTACTCTGCCAGAATAGGTATTAAAACAATTATTAATGAGATGATGACAAATGTGTTAAAAAAACTGCCTATAATATTAAATTACTGTCCATGGTTATGTCATGACTATAGCCATGGGTAGTAGCAGGCAGTATTAATAAGCAGCATTTATTATTACAGTAACAATTTGTCTTGGGCATTGCCATGGAATATTAATGTTTCAAATTGTTACTGTATGAATGTAATAATAATAATAATAATAATGTGTTAAACCCATAGGGGTCATGCTGCACCTGGCGGAAAAGGGATGGTATGTAATAGAAGACAGTCAAGTTTGAAGGAAGAAAAGGCCAGGTCCAATTATAGTCACAGCCTTCACCCCCTTTCCTCACTGGCATCAAGAAACCTCCCTTGAGGAGTTTTTGCTGATAAAACCACTATGTACTTCAGTTTGATAACCTTCCATTTTTTTAACACATCAGCCATTTCCCACCAAGGCAGGGTGACCTGAAAAAGAAAACACTTTCATCATCCCTCACTCCATCACTGTCTTGCCAGAGGTGTGCCGATAGTATAGTTAAAAAATTGCAACATATCTCCACCCGTCCTTCAGAATGCAGGCACTGTACTTCCCACCTCTAGGACTCAAGTCCAGCTAACCAGTTTCTTTGGATCCCTTCATAAATGTTACCTTTCTCACACTATAACAGCTTGTCGAGTCATAAACACCATTTGCCTCCATTTGCTCCTATCTGACACACACGCACTTGCTGGAATCCTAAGCCCCTCTCATACAAAACCTTGATTATCCCCTCCCTCCGACCTTTCCTAGGGTGACGCCTATCTTGCCTTTCTTCCACTATAGATTTATACACCCTCCAAGTCATTCTATTTTGTTCCATTCTCTCAAAATGTCAAATCACCCCAACAACCTCTCTTCAACTCTGTTGATAATACATTTAGTAACTTCACACCACCTAATCTCCAAGCTACGAATTCTCTGCATAATATTCACACCACACATTGCCCTCAAACATGACATTTCCACTGCCTCCAGCCTTCTCCTTGTTGCAACATGCACCACCCATGCTTCACACCCATATAAGAGTGTTGGTACCACTATATTCTAATATATTCCCATCTTTGCTTCTATGGACAACGTTTTGTCTGTACAGACTTGTCAGTGCACCACTCACCTTTTTCCTTTTGTCAGTTCTGTGGTTTACCTCATCTTTCATAGACCCATCTGCTGAGAAGTCCACTTCCAAATATCTGAACACATTCACTTCTGCCATATTTCCTCCTTCCAATCTGATATCCAGTTTTTCATCACATAAATTTTTTGTTAACCTCATCACCTTGCCTTTACCTATATTCACTTTTGATTTCTTTCTTTTACACACCCTCTCAGATTTGTCCACCAACCTCTTCAACTTTTCTTCAGAATCTTCCAAAAGTACAGTGTCATCAGCAAACAGCAACTGTGACAACTCCTATTTTGTGTTAGATTCTTTATTTTTTAATCTCACACCTCTTTCCAACACCTGAGCATTCACTTCTCTTACCACCCCATCTATAAATATATTGAACAACCATGGTGACATCATGCATCCTTGTCTAAGGCCTACTTTTACTGGGAAATAATCTTCCTCTCTCGTATCTACATATGCTAACCTGAGTCTCACTATCCTCATAAAAACTCTCAACTGCTCTCAGTAATCTACCACCTATTCCATACACTTGCAACATCTCCCACATTGCTCCTATATCCACCCTCTATCCTTGGCCATTGCACAAAACCACAGCTTCCCTATCTTCATCCACATGTAACATTTCCTCAAAATATTCCCTTCATCTTCCCAATACCTCTAACTCCCCATCTAATAGGTCTCCTCTTCTATTTTCAGCTGTCAAATCCATTCATTCCCTAGGCTTTCTCAGCTTATTAATCTCTCTCCAAAATTTTTTCTTATTCTCAGCAAAGTTTGTTGACAGCATATCACCCACTCTTATTTGCTCTCCTTGTACATTCCTTCACCACTTTCTTAACCTTTCTTTTTGTCTCCATATGCTCCTCCCTCCTTACATCACTTCTACTTTGTAAAAACTTTTCATATGCTTACTTTTTCTCTCTTACTACTCTCTTCACCTCATCATTCCACTAGTCACTCCTCTTCTCTCCCACACCCACCCTCTTCTTTCAACAAATTTCTGCTGAACACATTAACACTGCATTCTTAAATCTACCCCATACCTCTTCAGCCTCATTGCCTATATTCTCACCAGCCCATCTTTTTGCCATTAGTTTTTTATATCTTACCCAAACTGACTCCTCCTATAGTTTATAAATCTTCACCTCTCTCTTACTGTCTAATACCATTCTTCTTGTACCCCATCTACCTTTTACGCTCATTGTAGCTACAACTAAAAAGTTGTCTGACATCTGTTGCCCCTTTATAAATATGCACATCTCAAAGTCTACCCATCAACCTTTTATCCACCAGTACACAGTCCAACAAAATACAGTGTATGTCTTATCTCGTATACTTATTTATCCTCTTTCTTAAAATATGTATTACCTATTACCCAACTTCTATACAAGTTCAATAATTAGTGCTTCATCATGATTCTTTCCTTAATATTTTTGCGATTGATTTGTCCCTTGTTCTGTATTCATTCAAGCCTAAAAATTGTCTTAAGTAGTTCACTAATTTTAATATCCAGTTTACTTGCAGGCATTGTGAACTGTTAGTGGCCAAGGGTGAATTGACTGGGGCATGGGAACTTCTTGGTGAATTGCGGAAAGACCCAGAAGTTGTTGGAGAGTTGCGTGTGAGACTGTTGGTAGTAGAAAGTTGTGCAGCTGTTGCTGGTGGTGGAAATGCTGTTGCTGTACCCTTACTAGTGGAAGCCCTCACTACTGCACATGATCACCATTTAACTTACTTAGCTGCATTGACGCATCTACACACAGCTAATGTTCAGGTAATACGCAAATTGTTTATAATTTCATTAGTGTCTTTTAACCCTTTTGGTGTGGGTCCTGTTGTTCTACAGCTTTGAAGCCAGGGTCGGTCCTGTATTAATGGGTATGCCATGAGCTCAGCTCATTCAGATAAGTTGTAAATTTGAGCTTAGATATGAGAGAATGAGTCTGTGTAGTAAGTGTGCACCATATAAAAATGTCTTGCAGCAAGCAGTGCACAATGGGAAAAAACTGCAACATTGTGGTGTATTTTCATGTGGTTTTTATTGTTGTATTCTCGGTTTCTTAGTCTCATTTGATAGAATGGAAAATATATTACAGAAATAGAGATGATATTGATTGATTTCAGGACTGAAAATAGCTTGAAATTGAGCTCAAAGTAGTGGAAATATTCGATTTTTGCCGATGCTCAAGAGTAAACAAATGACGTCATGCTGGTGGGTCTAATAGTATATGTTCACGAATGCACTGATATTATTTATACAATTATTACAGTATTGCATAACAGTAAATCTTCTATTTTTCTGTGTGAATAAAAATTCTTTATGTGAATAAGAAATAAAAATGGAATTCACATGTAAAGCCTGGATATGTAACTAATAAACAGAGGAAATGTTACTTTAGTGTCAGGAATGCCTGTATTGTTTATTCTCGACCCTATTTTGAAATTGGAATATTTTGAACTTTGTGTGAAAATGCCCAAATTTCCAATTTCTGATCACTTTAATAGGTGATTGGGCAGTTTCTTATGCTCAATCAATAAAATAGAAGTGATACTAGCAAATTTTTTTTTTATTAACACATTGGCTGATTCCCACCAAGACAGGGTGACCCAAAAAAAAAAAAATTTCATCATCATTCACTCCATCACTGCCTTGCCAGTGGGCTGCTTTACACTAGTTATAAAACTGCAATATAAAGCTGCAACATTAACACCCCTCCTTCAGAGTGCAGACACTGTACTTCCCATCTCCAGGACTCAAGTCCGGCCTGCCGGTTTCCCTGAATCCCTTCATAAATGTTACTTTGCTCCTGCTCCAACAGCACGTCAAGTATTAAAAATCATTTGTCTCCATTCACTCCTATCAAATATGCTCACGCATGCTTGTTGGAAGTTAAAGCCCCTCACACACAAAACCTCCTTTACCCCCTCCCTCCAACCTTTCCTCGGCCGACCCCTACCCCACCTTCTCTCCACTATAGATTTATACACTCTCGAAGTCATTCTGTTTCTTTCCATTCTCTCTACATGTCCGAACCACCTCAGCAACCCCTCCTCAGCCCTCTGTATAATAATTTTGGTAATCCCACACCTCCTAATTCCAAACTACAAACTCTCCGCATTATATTCACACCACACATTGCCCTCAGACATGACATCTCCACTGCCTCCAGCCTTCTCCACATTACAACATTCACCACCCATGCTTCCCACCCATATAAAAGTGTTGATATAACTATACTCTAATACATTCCCCTCTTTGCTTCTATGAACAAAGTTCTTTGTCTCCACAGACTCCTAAGTGCACCACTCACCCTTTTCCCCCTCATCAATTCTGTGATTAACCTCATCTTTCATAGACCCATCTGTTGACACGTCCACTCATAAATATCTAAATACATTCACCTCCTCCATACTCTCTCCCTCCAATCTGATATCCAATCTTTCATCACTTGATCTTTTTCTTATCCTTATCACCTTAGTCTTTCCTATATTCACTTTTAATTTTCTTATTTTACATACACTACCAAATTCATCCACCAACCTCTGCAACCTCTCTTCAGAATCTCCCATAAGCACTGTGTCATCAGGAAAGAGCAACTGTGACAACTCCCACTTTGTGTTAGATTCTTTATCTTTTAACCCCACACCTCTTGCCAAGACCCTTGCAGTCACTTCTCTAACAACCGCATCTATAAACATATTGAACAACCACGGTGACATCACACATCCTTGTCTAAGGCCTAATTTTACTGGGAAATAATCTCCCTCTCTCCTACATACACTCTAACCTGAGCCTCACTATCCATGTAAAAAGTCTTCACCGCTTTCAGTAACCTACCTCCTATTCCATACACCTGTAACATCTGCCACATTGCCCCCTATCTACCCTGTCATGCACGACTCAAGAAATCGTAATGACACGATTGCAAACAAACCATACCCCCGGCCGGGATTGAACCCGCGGTCATAGTCTCAAAACTCCAGCCCGTCGCGTTAGCCACTAGACCAGCTAGCCACAATAAGATTCATCCAACTAGGTATATTTCTACACCATAGGAAGGTTAGCACAGGCACCACTGTGACCACAAATGCAAGTTTTTACAGACGAATCTCCAGCTAGCGTGGCCGTGACGAACTCTAGCTCAAGTCCCTTCACTTCTTATTGTGGCTAGCTGGTCTAGTGGCTAACGCGACGGGCTGGAGTTTTGAGACTCTATGGCCGCGGGTTCAATCCCGGCCGGGGGTATGGTTTGTTTGCAATTATATCATTATGATTTCTTCCTATGGTGTAGAAATATTCCTAGTTAGATGAATCTTATTGTGGCTAGCTGGTCTAGTGGCTAACGTGACGGGCTGGAGTTTTGAGACTATGACCGCGGGTTCAATCCCGACCGGGGGTATGGTCTGTCATGCACCTTTTCCAAATCCATAAATGCCACAAAAACCTCTTTACCCTTATCCAAATACTGTTCACCTATATGTTTCACTGTAAACACCTGGTCTACACACCCCCTACCTTTCCTAAAGCCTCCTTGTTCATCTGCTATCCTACTCTCCATCTTACTCTTAATTCTTTCAATAATGACTCTACCACACACTTTACCAGGTATACTAAACAGACTTTTTTTTTTTTAACAAGTCGGCCATCTCCCACCAAGGCAGGGTGACCCAAAAAGAAAGAAAATCCCCAAAAAGAAAATACTTTCATCATCATTCAACACTTTCACCTCGCTCACACATAATCACTGTTTTTGAAGAGGTGCCCAGAATACAACAGTTTAGAAGCATATATGTATAAAGATACGCAACATATCCCTACAAAACGCCAATATCCCGAACCCCTCCTTTAGAGTGCAGGCATTGTACTTCCCATTTCCAGGACTCAAGTTCGGCTATATAAAAATAACCGGTTTCCCTGAATCCCTTCACTAAATATTACCCTGCTCACACTCCAACAGCTCGTCAGGTCCCGAATACCATTCGTCTCCATTCACTCCTATCGAACACGCTCACGCACGCTTGCTGGAAGTCCAAGCCCCTCACCCACAAAACCTTCTTTACCCCTTCCTTCCAACCTCTTTGAGGACGACCCCTACCCCGCCTTCCTTCCCCTACAGATTTATACGCTCTCCATGTCATTCTACTTTAATCCATTCTCTCTAAATGACAAAACCACCTCAACAACCCCTCTTCAGCCCTCTGACTAATACTTTTATTAACTCCACACCTTTTCCCAATTTCCACACTCCGAATTTTCTGCATAATATTTACACCACACATTGCCCTTAGACAGGACATCTCCACTGCCTCCTCACTGCAGCATTTACAACCCAAGCTTCACACCCATACATTTCATACATTCCCTTCTTTGCTTCCATAGATAACTTTTTTTTTGTCTCCACATATACCTCAATGCACCACTCACCTTTTTTCCCTCAACAATTCTATGATTAACCTCATCCTTCATAAATCCATCCGCCGACACATCAACTCCCAAATATCTGAAAACGTTCACTTCTTCCATACTCCTCCTCCCAAATTTGATATCCAATTTTTCTTTATCTAAATCATTTGATACCCTCATCACCTTACTCTTTTCTATGTTCACTTTCAACTTTCTACCTTTACACACACTCCCAAACTTGTCCATTAACCTTTGTAATTTTTCTTTAGAATTCCATAGCCATACTCGCAAAAAGTAACTGCATTCCATTGTATTTGATTCCCAAAAATACACTGCTCCGTCAATTCACCTAGCATTTGTACTTCTGATTCACCCTCTATAAATTAATCCCAACGCCTCCCCCGCGATTGAACCGCTCTAGTCAAATTTGACGGGGTTCTCGTTGTTATCAATCGTGTCTTACGATTCTATAATCATTAAACAGCCATGGTGACATTACACATCCCTGTCTAAGACCTACTTTTACTGGGAAATAAGTCTCCCTCTCTTCTACACACCCTAACCTGAGCCTCACTATCCTCATAAAAACTCTTTACAGCATTTAGTAACTTACCACCTATTCCATATACTTGCAACATCTGCTGCATTGCTCCCCTATCCACTCTATCATATGCCTTTTCTAAATCCATAAATGCAATAAAAACTTCCCTACCTTTATCTAAATACTGTTCACATATATGCTTCAATGTAAACACTTGATCAACACATCCCCTACCACTCTAAAACCTCCTTGCTCATCCACAATCCTACATTCTGTCTTACCTCTAATTCTTTCAGTAATAACCCTACCGATACACTTTTCCTGGTATACGCAGTAAACTTATTCCTCTATAATTTTTACAGTCTCTTTTGTCCTCCTTCCCTTTATATAAATGGACTATACGTGCTCTCTGCCAATCCCTGTTACCTTCCCCTCTGTCATACACTTATTAAACAAAAATACCAACCACTGCAACACTATATCCCCCCTATAATTTTTACACTCTCTTTTGTCCCCTTTGCCTTTATGCACACTCTCTGCCATTCCCTAGGTGCCTTACCCTCTTCCATACATTTCTATCTATATCCCATCAATCCCAGCTGCTTTACTCCCTTTCATTCTACCCGCTGCCTCACGAACTTCCCCCACACTCACAACTGGCTGTTCCTCACTCTTACAAGATGTTGTTCTTCCTTGCCCTATACACGAAATCACAGCTTCCTTATCTTCATCAGCATTTAACAATTCCTCAAACTATTCCCTCCATCTTCCCAATACATCTAACTCTCCATTTAATAACTCTCCTCTCCTATTTTTAACTGTCAAATCC